CGGGCCACATTTCAGGAGGTGAACCAGAATTTGCAATTGCGGCCTTAACTGATAAACAAGCTGCACGACTTTCGCGTCCTCGGGTATCCGTCTCACCTCGAGCAGCCTCGCGTCTAGCAGGTTCTTTCCATTTTCGTTTATCGCAGCATCATCGGACGACTGATAAGAGTCTTCGATCAGCAAATGGTACGGACGTCTCGGGGCTCTCGTTTTTTTGTTCGAGCTCTTTTTGCGAGATATGCTGCTGCTACCGCTCGACGATGCCATTGGCCTGTGCGTATGCAAAAATAATTAGAGGTTAATTTATCGATCGACAGGGATGAACTTAAAAATAAATACCCATGAATACTTGCTTAGACAATATTCTTTGGTCGTAGTTTATTTAACACTAAGCTAATAAACTCATTAACTGACGCTTCGTAATCAAGCAAAAGTTTCTTTATCTATTGTTTCGAACGCGATAAAAAATCATGACATTCTTATTTTTAACTCTCGGTCAGATGCAAGCCTTCGAAAAATCGGATCAAGATTTTAACACATCGGTAAACAACTTTTTGAATTTCGTTGCTTATCATATAGTATTTTCTAGGGTATAAATATTTTGATTTTGACAAAATAAAAAAAAAATGTTGCTTATCTAGTTTTTACTGGATTGTTAAAGTAGGCGGTAAATCGGCTAATATTTGTTTTGAGCTCGCCATGCTATACATAAACATCGAGAATCTAATACATATTTGTAAAAAAATGTGTTTTCGTTGCGCTACTACTAATCAGAGGATTGCACTGCTCTCAGGTTCCTATAGCGATGAAGACTTTTACGTAGCTCTTTCGCAATCAAACACATCGCACATACACGCGCACGCACACACACACACATGGTATCTTTCCAGTCCCCGTTTCAAAGCGAGTGCATCACTTAAATTTTAATGGGGAGAGGACTGGCGCGCACGTGTGTGCCTTTCGAGTGTGTTTGTGTTTGTGCACAGTACATCGCACGTACGTATAGATATGTGTATAAGGCCTCGTGGGCGCTAGACAGAGAGAGAGAGAGAGAAAGCGAGAGGAAGCGGGCGGGTGAGTGGCAAAGCAAAGGTCCTCAGCGAGAGAAAATTGCTAAAGCTTTCGCAATTCTACGTGGAGCTAGGCGTGCAGTCAGCAACAGCAGCAGCAGCAGCGGTATATATCGGAAGACGAAATGTGATTTCGAACTAGCGACATCCTTCAGGGAGCTGCTGCTGTACACTCTGGCTGCTACATTGGCTCGCTTCTTCTTTTCGCTCTCTCTCTCTCTCTCTCGCTCCCACTAAACTTTCGAGCGGAACGTCCTTGCTGCAGCTGTGCTTGCCTTTTTCCTCTGAGCTTCTCTCATCTATGGGCAACTTTGAACGTTGCCTACTTTAGCTAAGCGCTCCGAGTATTACTTTTATTTTTCCCTTGGAACAACATGCTTAATCATTCAGCCATTGGATCATTATTTATTTACGAGTTTGGAAAAAAATAGGTAAATTTGAATCTCTGGGTGTTGGAATAAATTTTTTTTACGATTATTCCGATGGTACACGCAACTTTGATAGTCAGAACAACGTGCGATTCGATCGTAGTCTTCATTGATCGATGGCATCCTTTTTTTATCACGCCTCAACAGCTAACGCGCCAAAAAAAGCATGCATCAAAACGCTGAATCAAAAAAAAAAGTGAGAGAAAAAAGAAAAAGGGAAAAAACTCGTTTTTCGCGTAACCGGGTTCCGGTCTCGATGAGTCAGAGCATGTACGTATATATGAAAGCTCGCGCGCGCATGAAAAGGAAATGCAGCTGCCGGTTGCAGGCCGCAGCCACGGCAGCAAGTGCGGGTTCGACGTACTCGAGCTTGCACGCACGAGCTCGCTCGCGTGTTATGATTCATCCCGTTCGTATACGTATACGTTCGTACGTTCGTTCGTTCGGCGGGCGTAGAAAGAGAGAGAGAGAGAGCGCATAAATGCACAAAAGGGTGCTAGAACCGCAGATTCGCCGCCCTTTCGCAGCTTCTAATTCGAACGAGAGCTGCTGGGCGCGCGGAGGTGTGGTGCGGGATGTGCGCGCATTCATCCATGCTACAGGTATATATACACACACAAATACATACTACACGTACTACACCATAAGAGAAAGAGAGAGAGAGAGAGCTGGGCGTACTACTATACTACGCAGCTGAGAAGCTCGCTCTCTCTCTCTCTCTCTAGCGCTCGCAAGGCCAGCATTAATTAATGTAACTCGACGAGTAATACGAGCATAATTACTTTGCTCGAGTCGTTGCTGCTGCTGCTGCTGCGAAAGTGTAAGGGAGAGATAGAGGGTGAGCGGGAAAGTTTGCTCGTTATATCGAGGCTCGCTCGTTCGCGCAACGCGACGCAACGCGCGCGCGAGACTGTCAGCCACCGACGATATATACCGTGTATATAATACATGTATACTACACGCGACTATAGTAGCTGGTATACACAAAGTGCAACTATATAGCCGCGTGCGATAGAGAGAAGCATCGATTATCGCCGCGGCTAGTCGCGCACCAACACCACAATATGTATACTACACACACACAGGGTACGCTGTATAAGAGTATACGCGCGCCGTAGGTGCGTAGGCGGCATGTAATATCATCGTCCTGACGAGAGAGCCTATATATATATAGGCTCGCAGCTTTCGCCGCGTGTGTAACTATATCTATAACTCGGCGCCGTGGCGTCTACAGCATAGCGGCCGAAAACTCGTCCTTCCATAGCCACCACCGCGCCAAAGAGTCAGCTTCGTGCAATTGTATACCTGCCGCTATGTACTATACGCGTGTAATATCTACGCACCCAAAACTCCTGATAAAGCGTCGTATGGTACGGGCGCTTGACATTCTACACCCAACGGCAGTGCGTCCAACTCCTTGGCGGCGTTCGCGATCGTTCGAAATTTCGTGCGCGGCTGTGTGAAAGCTGCAGCTCGCTTACTGGCACGATTAACTTGTTTTCCCTGCAGTGAGCGCATCGACGCTCGTTCATCTTTTCCTTATATAGCTGTTTATCGTTGCTACAGCCGCCGCGGAGAGATGAACGAGAACAAGAGCTCGCGCGATCGGCTGTCGGCACGAGAAAAATAAATATTTCATCCTGCGCGCAAGCTTAGATCTGTACTGCAGGGCTGCGCTGCACGCGGAAACGAGCCTCGAGCCACGCGCATATATATCCGCACCGATAAACAAAATACGCGAAGCCTTAAATCTTTTCGGCGCTGAGTGTATGTGTGTGCAAGACTGCTGCGATCCGAACGCGCCAGAAGAACGGAGAGAACGACAGAGAGCAAGAGAGAGAGAGAGAGAGAGAGAAGCCGTCGCAAACTTATATGCTCGGGACGCCTCGGGGGGAATAAAAGCCCAAAGATTTCCTTGGTGACTGCTGGGTTACACCGCGCGCCACCACCGCCACCACCGCTGCTGCTAGCTTCCACTTCTCTATAGCTCTGTGTATATCACGCATTATAAGGACAGTTGCTACCGTTGTTTCTTTTTCTTTTTTTCCTTTCTTTTCCTTTTTTTTCGGTCTAGTAACTACGGCTGAGCTTTGACTGCTCGGCAAAACCAATTACGCGCCCAGTTTATTTTTTATTTATTTTATTATTTCTCCTTTTTTTGGTGTAAGTCTGGACGATGTGTTCTGCGTAAGTTGCTGACCACATACCATGGCGATATACACACAGATGAATTGACGTCGTCGGACAGGATATGTCAGCTGGGATAATTTTTCCGAACCGTGTGCAATATGCATTCGGATATTCGGACGAAGCGTGCCAAATCGAACATTAAATTATTTTCGTATGAATAAACGATTAATTGAAATTGATACATTTTTCATGATTCTGCATTTATCTTTTAATTAAAGTGATAAAATTATACATTGTATTCGATTGCATTATAAGCGTCATCAATGTATATCTATGAATATAGATTTTATTCATTCGATGTCGAGAAACTTGAGCTAATAATATTGCTCATCAATCCGAGTCGTCACGCAATCGATTGAGATTAAAAATATTTTTTAATCAATCCGTTGTCACGTGCCACGCGGAAATTGTCATATGACTTTTTATGAACGCGACAAAAAAAGAAACGATTAATATTGTACATGTGTAAAGTTATTCCAAACTTTAAGTAAAGTCAAAATCAAAATGAGTTTCACATTTGAATGTTTAAATTGCGACAACACATTCTTACAAAAATATCTATAACTAGAAAATCATAATAATATTGTTTTTCGTTCCAGTATGATAATTTATTTTTCTCAATAAAATAAACTTTGGTTCGTACTACGCGTATAGGTGCACATTGTATTGTACAAAAGCAAGTCTCGCGCGTCCAGGTACTCCCTTTGTTAAGTTCCAAGTCTGCAGACTCTGCGCAAACCCTCAAAGCTAAAGAAAAGCGATTCGATTGTCCATTTCTTTCTCTCTACTTCCTGTTCCTTCGAACGGAGAAAAAGAGAGAGAGAGAGAGAGAAAAGAGAGAAGGTCTTGCAGGAGAAAACAAAGAAAGAGAGAGAAAAAAATTCTCAACCGATGCGTGCTTAGCTTCGCTTTTCACGAGCTGCGTCAATAAATAGTTATATACGAATAGCAGCTTGGCCAGCTTCGTTTTCTCTCTTTAGAGAACTTTCCTATGTTTTCTGTTTACCACACTTATTTAATTTCTCCGACCCTCTCTTTCTCTTTCTCTCTCTCCCCTGGCCCCGAGACCGGCTAGCTCCGTTTCTGGCGCTGCTGCTGCTGTTATGTGTTCTCGCTAACTATCGAAAGCTTCCCGAACGCGCACGGAGAGATGCGAAATACAAGCCGTATACACACACACACACACACACACATAAATATATATGTATACGCGCACACAGACACAGACTGACAAAGTCTCAGGGTCTATATTGCAAACTATCAGTTGTTGTAGCTCCGAGCGATAAGAGTTTAAAGCTATACTCTCGAGTTTTCAGTGTTTATAGGCTCTACACTCTCGGTCGGTGTTTATTATGTTCGCAGGTAAATAACAATTATAAACGGCGCTACGCACATATACACTGACACTCAGGCGATCTCGTTCGTATTGGAGCTATGAAGCTGTCAAAAGCGCCTATTTACTTGTATCAAAGAGCGAGATATTTTTAATGACAGCTCGAGCTCGTAGCAGTTTACGCGATATTTTGTCAAAACTTTTATACTCACCCTCAAGGCTTACGTACGTTAAATTTCGGTATATCGTATTGTTTTACCGAATCTCTATCTCTGCTTATAAAAACCATCATTTCGTGGTTGACATTGCCGCGAGGGAAGTTAAAGAAAAAGGAAAAGAAAAAGAGCTGCTACTTGTTCTATCTTGATCAATACAAGCAAGTAAGTACCTATTGCAGTATAAACAGCTCATTCCTACCGTCATGTTCGATCAACATACATTACACAATAACCACGAAAGACTATAGTTAAAAGACTAATCATTATCCTTTCATTCAATTGATTTATCACGATCGTTTTTAAAAGTGTCGAGATGACTGCGGTCTCCTTACCCACATTGACTTCGCGGTAATAATATATACCCCGAGCTCTCTTTTCGATCGTTCGCCGCACCGTCTCTTTCCTTTTCGGCCTGGTCTTACATTTTACATGCGGTGCAGACCCTCCCATCCGAGGCCGATCGTTCGAAAGAGTCTTTATATACGATCGTGCCCGCTTTGACGTCCGATATTAGCAAGTAAATGACTCTCCGGCAAAGCGGCCCTCCACACTAGCTATTCTCTTCTTTTTGCCGAACGCGCGATCGACTTCCTTATCGCATTCTTGTAAAAACACTCTTTGACCGTGGGCTTTCTCTTCGACGTCTTGGGGCCTTTTCTGTATATAACGTATTTGTTGCCGACAAACACAGTACGATCGGCCCTTGATTTTGTTTCCGTTCAATAAAAAAATTTCAGATGCGCAGCGAGTTGCATATATACGAGCGGCTTGTTTATTGCGCGCGCAGAATCAATTTACGAGAAATGAGATATTTTACGTTTTTGAAAGCAACGAAATAAAAAAAATCTTGTTAGAGCTTGAACTTTCGAGGGAGGATACGGGCGAGACGACTTTTCATACGTGCATGCACGAAGGAGAAAAGAAGCAGCATCGGCCGAAGAGCGAATTTGCTTTTTCGGGCTTGTGTACGGGTATCTTCATACATGGCATGCACAGAGTTGCTTACATGCCTTGGCGTACAGGCCGCAGCGCACACAGGCCACGAATAGATTAGAGAGCACAGGAGACAAAAGTATAGCACGTATATATACTGGATGTAAGAGAAGTAACAGCGGCGGCGGCATCAGCGGCAGCTCCTGTGCTGCTGCTGCCTTGGGGCGGCTGCGGCCGATTCGAGCTCGAGCTCGGTGCATACATAAATTATCGAAGGAAACATAATTCAAAGAGGATGTGCCTCGGGCCGACACCAGTTCTAGCTTAACCGCCTGCGTATATCTTGAAGGCATACACCACCCACTGCTCCGCAGATTCCTCCCTCCTGTTCGCTTCCCCCTCGCACCCCTCGTGCAGACTCTCACAGACACATTCGCACACGTGCACTTACATCGTCCTCCGACGGTAGTGCAGTACACACTCGCACGCGCCTCTGCTTTATACTAGACGTTCTTGTCTTCGGTAGATTCGCTCTTTTTTCCAACTCACTGATATTGTGGACCGAGCTCATACACTGCTCGGTACTGTCGGTCTGGTCATTTTTTTTCATCCGATGCCATTAAACTAGCGATAATGTATAGTTACAATTATCTTCATGAAGAAAAAAAGTCTAATTTATAATCAAAAGCTTCGTTCGAGTATACAGTGGTGTGAAAATATACAGAAGTATATAAAATCGTCGGAAAGTACGCGCGTACAGCTCCATTTGGAAAATAAAGTCTATCGAAGCATCAATTCATGGCATGCCAAGATAGAATCGAGCAAGATACAAGGGGTGAAAGAAAAAGCCTTCGTTTCATCGATGCACCCCCCATGAAAATGGGAAAAAATCTTCTCTCTCTCTCTCTCTCTCAACCTCGCACCGATACTCTCGTTTTACTCACATCAGGTGCACGCTGCAGACACTCACCTGTATGCGCGCCGAGGCAGTGGCACGTTTCGGTGGCCGCTGCAGAGCTCGCACATAACGTACACAGACGCGCTCACGCATCGGCAGAGAGAAATTCAATTTCCGGTCAGTAGTGCTGAGCGCGAAATGTCGAGAGCTCCAGGGAAAAGAAGCGCCGGGGCGCGTAAGCTTAAAAAGAGAAACAGAGAGAGAGAGAGAGAGAGAAAAAGAGAGAGAAATAAAAAAGAGAGGAAAAGCCTATTTATATTAGAAACGTGACACGACCAAAAGTACCGCGTGTTCTTGACTAGTCGCGGACAATCGCAAATAGGTGTCGACAGACGAAAATTTGTTTTCTTCGATATTCCAAGTTCTCTGTTAATATGTTTTAAAGATTAAAAAACCCGTAGATAAATAGGAAATAAAAGTTAAAGCTTAGTACACCTACTCGTTTCAATTCATTTTTAATCTCATACTCATCCTGCGATCAAATACTGATATGTTTTAAAAAATAACAAATTATTTGCAGAGTCAAAATATGAGGCTATCCAAAGACGATGCTGACTTAACCAAAGTTTTAAAGTTTTCCAGTTTTTCGGATTTGAGCAAAATTGGTTCAGGATCATATGGGTAAGTATGATTATCTATAAATGGGTGGGTATATTATACTATCTTTCGAAAGCAAAACCTAAAATTTTAATCTTTATTTTTTTTTGTTTATATTACATAGGGTTGTTTTCAAAGCTAAATACAAAGGTGTTCATGATGTGGCTCTGAAAAAAGTCCTTTACCATAATGAAAGCGAAGGGGTAAAGCACTATTATTTTTCTCTCATAAAAATCGAATCTTTCAAACCAAAACTATAAAAACGAAATTATTTTCAGTTTCCACTTTCGTCCATTAGGGAAATTAGACTGTTGACTACTTTGGATCATCCAAATATTGTGAAAATGTTTGGTGTAATTAATGATCCTGGTAAACTATGATTCATCTAGAAAACATCTATATTTTTCAACATATTTAATTTAATTTAATTTTTTTTCACAATTATTAGCTCGACAGCATAATAATTGGACTTTAACATTCTACATAGTTTTTGAATACTGCAATTGGGATCTAGCAAACTTACTAATGAACAAGTCCATAACCATTTTAGACTCCGAAATTAAACACATGTTACAACAGGTGCTCACAGGTCTCAGTTATTTGCACTCTAAAAATGTTGGTATTTACAAAATTGTATGACATTTCATTGTCTCTTTAAGCCACCCATTGAAAATTAATATTTTTGTACAGGTATTACATAGAGATTTGAAAAGTTCAAATATATTAGTTAACAAAAATGGTGCTCTAAAAATATGCGACTTTGGTTTGTCGAAAAGAGTTGCTTATGACAAAAATGGTAACCTCAAGAAGAGTCTTACGAACCGCGTGGTCACCGTATGGTACAGAGCCCCCGAGCTCCTGTTGGGCGAAAAATACTACGATTCAGGTATTGATATGTGGAGTGTAGCTTGTATTATGGCTGAGATGTGGAAAAGATGTCCCGCTTTGCCAGGAAAAAGTGAGCAAAACCAGTTAAATCTCATTATGGAACTTTGTGGCTCGATTACCCCTATAAATTGGCCTCAAGTAGAAAAATTTCCATTGTACAAGGCATTGGTGTTGGACCAAAATTTACCGAGAAGCGTAAGTTGAATTTTTTTACTTTGGCAAACTCTAGTTAATATTGAATTCCATAACTTTTTCCGAAATCTTTAGGTTTCTCAAAAGTATCAAGAAATAATCGAATGTCCTAACGCACTAGATCTTTTGGAAAGATTATTTACTTTAGATCCTAAGAGGAGAATTGACGCAAATACAGCTTTGTCACATCCGTATTTTTTTGTTAATCCTGAGCCTGAGCCATTTTTTATGGAATCCCCATTTTAATACAGAATGAGAAATTTCTACTGATGCTTCGACTTCTTCAGTCGATGTAAAACTATGAAACCAAGTTTTGGTTTTTCGAAGATAATAATTCAGTTGATAATCGTTGGTATAACGATTAAAAAATTCAACTGTTAAAAAGCATCATTGTTAATGTCTAATGGGGCTATCGATTGTTTATTTATAAGAAATTTATCTTAGTTGTAATAAGTTGACGCTACTGAACTTCAAGCGAAAGAAAAACAGAGCACGTCTCACGAATAAATGTAAATTGTTCAATGTTTATTTTAAAGTAAATATAATGTAAACTCAATAGATGTGTTAGCTCTCAGGCCATCTACTTTATTTTTTCAACTCCAGAAGTGACGATTGATAGATAAATTTGTGACTTTCCTATTATCAAGGACATGATTTTTTTCTATCAATTAATTGATTCTGATTGATGCTAGTTATTTTAGTGTTAACTCAAGTTGTAAGGATTTATACTAAACAAATTTAATCATGTTTATCTACAAAAAACTTTTCCAAAAAATTTTCACGATTACTTAGGTACACAGATGATTTTACATAAACAACGTACACAGTATTTTTACTGATCGAAAAATCCAGACTGAAAATGGTCTCTTTCTCTATTTTCCTCTCCGACCAGGCGTATATCTTCTAAATAAGCTTTTGGAGTTAAGCTGGTTTTCTCCACGTTGACGACTAAGAGGATGAGTCGGCTCTCTATCCCCTTATGAAGCTCCATGCATTTGATTGGTAATCCAGTTACTAGTCCATGTTATGTATAGGCCCATTCATATCTCAAACTTTACGCTATTATTCTCACGAAATAAATTTGATTAATTTAATGACTCTTTTGTAATTAGTTTCGAAGAACTAAAAATAATGTCGCAGTTCGATTTTCCAAGACGAGTTAATTAGAATTTTGAAATTGTGCAACGATTTCCATCAACAGCAGTAGTAGCAGTATGCGAACAGTGAGAGTGCTATAGATGCTTCTTCAAGCCTACAAGAAGTTGTTAAAAAATTCATATCCCTTGACTTACTTTTTTTCGTTCTCTCGAGCACCCCATTCTCAATTTAACGCGCCTTTTTTTGCTACTAATTATGAATGGTGTTGCTTTTAAGAGCTTATAAATTTTTCACACAGCAAAGAATTTCAAAGAAACAGGGTTGAGTAAATCGAAAAATTTTGTCGCTTCTACTCTGGCTGCAAGAAGAGAGCTTGAATTTCGGTGGCCGGGTCTCGGCAAAGAAAAAAAAGCGTATCGCTTAGCCTCGCACTGATCTAGCTATTGTCACAGCGACGAAGAAAAAAAAATCAGATAAGTAGGTTCATTGCTCATTGTGCACGCTTTAGGGAGGAATGGCATTATATAAAGCGTGAAAAAGTGAGTACATATTATACCGTACATGTATAGAGCCGGGCGCGTCGAAACTTCGCTCGAGGCCGCGTCAGTCTCGGCAGTGCAGCAGTAGTCTTTTCGCTTCTAACTTGATGTAATTTCGCTGCTGGCTCTTCTCACTTTCTCGAGATATAAACGCGCTCGCTGGCATGAAAATCGCGTGAAAATCAAGCCACGCACGGACCGTGCGCTTATAAAGAACGAAGAAAAATTCCAGCGTCTATCTACATTGAATCAAAGCTGAACAACGAATAAAACCGTATACACAATTAATATAAAGCTTCGTGCTTTACGAATGATCAATTAATTTGTGGACTAATTATGTGTGCTCGAGTTTGGTAATAGAACATGTTTGATTAGAAAATTATCGCGGGCACGCATACGCACGTTTCTGCTGTCATTCGAGTATACTCTTCTGCGTATACACAAACGCCGGGGCCCAGTGGTAACTTTAATTATAAAGCCTTAATGAACTCCGCTCTGGTATGACATTTGGCTGATTGTGCAAGCTGCTATGGCTAGTTGTAATTATGCACATATTTAATATTCGTTTGATTAACCAGCCCATTCCTCGACGTGCCTCCAGTTCTATGTCAGTATACATTCATTGAATTATTCAAAAATGCGAATTAAAATTGTGTGTAGTTTACGCGCTTGTTCGATAATCTAGAAATTCTTTAAATTGCTCTAATTAAATTAAAACGAATTTTTCGTCATTGATATTTTTATGCCAGTAGCTTTATAAAACCCTCATTAATTTTAAATTTAATTTATTAGAAAAATTTAAGTTGTCACCCAATCACAATTTATAACGAATGACTTGAAGATTTTTTACTCCGAGTCACGTCAGTCTCTGTAATACTATCGAAATGGCCAACTCGCCAGTCTTATTCTCGGAAGCGCGTGGCAGGGTGGAGGTGTGTGCGGGCGAACGAAAGCCAGAGGCGGCCGCGGCACAACGTGATCTCGAACGCGGAGGGAAGAGACGAGCAAAAAATCTCCGATCATTTTCCATCGGGTCACGTTTTGCAGAACAAGTTCAATCCGCAAGGCTGCTGCTGTTGCTGCTAACGCCGCTGCTGCGGTGGCCGAAGCGCCTTAAGGATATGAAACTTTCCTGATATAGCCTGTGTGATACATCGACGGCGGCGGCGGGGTCGGTGGCGGCTCGACAAGTTTGCACTGCCACCAGAGAAGTATACGTTCGCGTGTATACCTTCGGGGAAGTAGGTATATACCTACAGGCGCGGCTGAAAGGTGCAGAGCTATATAGACTGCTACGTGTATAGCTGCCAAACTCCGCGCACTGCCAGACTCTGATCAGAAGCTATTGTTATGCCAGAGTGTTAAGCATTCGCACCAACGACCGACCACCCCCCGATCCCGCATTGACGGTCAAGCTCGCTGTACGTCGAGTCCAGGACTTATGCTCGATTCTTGAAGCTGAAATAACAAGAATATACGATGACCGAGGTTGCTTTTGTGCAAAGCTCGGCCAATTCTGCCTCGATCGAAAATCTTCAAATTCTTCAGCATTCACTAAAATTTTACACTTTCTTAAATCAATATGGAAAATATTTATTTCCTAGTGCACGATCACAACGTTGTAATATCGTTACTGCTCAGATACACTTCAGACGACGCATCTGAGCACGACCGGAACAAAATATTGTCGCACAGAGAGCGCCTGGAGCATGAGCGACTCGTCGCACAGCCGAGTTCGTAATATATCGGGTCGCGATGGCGCATCGAACAGCTTTGTATACATAACGTACGTTTATGTATGTAAATAGCGCACGCGATCCGCTGTATGCACGGTGTACAAGTTTGTAGGCGTCTGCAGTCACGAGAGAAAGAGAGAGATAGAGCGAGGTCCATCAAGCGCGCGTGACGTCTGGCATATACGTTGACTCGTTCTACTTGTCGCAGTGCAACTACGCGCGCGAGCGACGGCCGTCGAGCACAAAGATACGCGCGACGATTAAAAAAACTGCGTCGACGAAGATCTAAAACGAACGACGACTACGACGACACTTTAAATAAATCAGAGTCGTCGCGAAGAGATTATCGGCATCTGTTGGTATACTGTGCGCGATGCGCGAGAGAAAACCCAAGAATAAAAATCGCATTCTGCATGCGCGATTTTAAAGCGATCATAAATTCAGAAAAAGTACGTACGTGCGTCACGAGGCTGCTGCTGCTGCATCCGTATAATACTCCGCGAAGCGCGAGAATAGGTCGACGCGCCAGAGGTATTTCTACATTTTCCTTACATTCCTACATCCTTTGATCAAGTGAAAAAGGATAATCCCCCGCCGTCGCACTGCACATAGCTATCCATAAAAAAGCGAGCCGTAAACGTCACGCGCGAGGACAATCAATTTAATCTAATACAGCCCCGTAAATATCGCATAATCTTCGACGCGCGTGTAAATCGACGCCGCGTGGCAACGAGCAGCAGCACATGTGCTTTCAAGCCTCTCTCTCTCTCTCTCTCCCTCTCACGAGCGCAATAAAAGGCATTTTCGCTCTCTCGCGCGACTCTTGATCACGCGCGCTATATACTAACTCGTAGAACGGAGTCGAGAATTGCCGCGGAGCTGCTGAATGTATATATTCGGAGCTTGCGCAAGCACCTCTGCCGCGTACTATAGCGAGCTGCTGCTGCTGCAAGTAGTTTTGGATTACACGCGCGCCGCGCACCGACATGTAAGCATCCGATATCAAGGCTACTGCCTGCATGCAGCCTGAATATTAAATCGCTCGTCATTAGTAATTCAGGATTAATACGTGCTGAGAGCGAAGAAACTTTAGCCTCACCGCGACGACGACTACGACGACAAGCCGAAGCTTGGGATGAAGCGAAGCTTTTGAAGCCGTATCGATCGCCGAGTAATTTTTTTGAATATCGACACTTCGTCGACTTTGTAGGTGCGAGAGCGATGTACGTGACACACGTTTCCCTTGATGCGCGTGCAAGAACACGTGTAATGCGCATTACGCACACACGTACAGCGAAAGAGAAGCGCATAATATATCAGGTGTCACATATTAGCTGCAGCTAAGTCACAAGCGCGCCGAGTTGGATGCTGCTGCTGCTGCTGCTGAAAGAAAGAAGCTAGAATGAAATTCCAAGGCGAATAGCATAAGAGACATTGGAGCTCCATGACCTCTCGCACACACACTTGGCCGCCCCGTGTGCAGCATGGCCCGCATATAGCACAGCGCGATGGCACGCAAACGCGCGTATCAAACGGCCCCTACGGGTGTGTATATGGCTGAAATTGAAAATCCCTATTGCATACGATTGCAGCGCATTGTCGTGCCATCGCGCTTATGTGTCGGGCCCGTATACTCTCTACAGATGCTGCCGCGCAAAGCGAGGAGAAAGCGAAAAAAAAAAGAGGAATTTGTAAACAAGGAATCGCAGCTCTAAGTATATTCGATGGCGCGCGCCTTGTAGAGCTTCGCACACACGAAATCGTATTGATTCTCAGAGACTTTTCAGCGCGCACACACATATCGGACCAGCTCGCACTCTTGAGCTGCGCGTTATATGTGTCAGCTTTTCGTTCGAACTATTTCCAGTGCGAGGCGAATCATTTGCATCACGGGACAAAAAGTGACCGAAACTACGTGCAGCGATCTGGCTTTGGCTGACAACTAATACCCGCCACTCGCCGAGGTTACACTGTTTTGAGTATTCCAAAAGTGCAAGAGACTTGCATGCTCGCGACACAGCCACACCGCCGCATGGAAAAGCTCTCCGCTCGCTTTCGAGATTAAGCTCTCGCAGCAGCAGCAGCAGCAGCCGCACCGAGCCACGCTCTCTCTCTTTCTCTCGCTCGCTTTCTACGACTTTCTACGCCGAGGAGATATCCCTTTCGGAAGGAAAGCATTTAAAGGTTTTATCTTCGTAGCGGATTCGGCTATATTTTTTCACGCTCGGCTGCCTTCCCTGCTCCTTCTTTCGGGAGAAGAAATTCCATCTCAGAGTCTCTTAGAGCTTTGCGCTTTCTCCTACAGTATTAGATATACCCCCCCCCCCCCNNCCCCCCCCCCCCCGATGAAAGAGTTACTTTAGTATATCATGAGCCTTTGCGGATCATCGCTTACTGCGCGCGCTCGCGTGCGGCGACCGGGCCCGGAGCTAACTTGTTTATCGCTATCTTTCCCGCGCTATCCTCTCCTATATAAGAGACGTTGTAAAAGGCGCGCGCACTCGCGTCATTATCCACAAAAAGCTTAATGAAGTTCTACTTGATGATTTACGTCGAAAAATTCGGAGCTTGCGATAAAATGGTTTCCCGCGCGATCGATGCTGCTCCTGCAGCTCCTTGTAATAAAGGAGGGTGTGTATGCGCGCTCGAAAAGGAGAGAATAATTCTCGCTCTCTCTCTCACGCTCGCGACTCATCTTGAATATGTAACGAGCCGTGTGCATACACTACTGCAGGCGCAAAGTCGGAGCTTTCGTGCACCACCGCGAGAAATACGAGCCAAACTGCCAAACAACGGCGACACGCATGCAGCGCGCAAACTTGTGCGTACATGTGCACACATGTAGAAACGAATAAGAAACCGCATCCCTCGCTCCATTTTCGCGCTCCTGCGAAACAGGACCAAAAGAAATACGAGGAAGGAAGAGCGCGTACAGCGCGATGCATGCGTGCGCCATTGCGGAGTTCGTACTATACACGATTTCGTCCTTAAAATAGCTTCTTCCTTTCTGAACTATATACAGAAAAAACGTGAGGAAGAGAGGGAAAATGTTGGGAAGCGTGATTTGTCTCTCCACACAAGAGAGCGCCTGAAAAAGGAGGAATATATACTTTTTCGACATTAGCTTGCAGCGGAAAAAGAGAGAGAGAGAGCAAAGTTGCACAGAAGGAAAAAACACTCGAAGTACGCACGGATGGCGAGAAAAAGAGTTTATTTCTAGAGTGCAGTTGCTTGAATGTGAAATAAATGCCGAAACTTGGGCGCGCGCGCGTATACCCCGTTTTACCCAAATGAAAGCTCGACCTTTCCAAAACGCGCAGCAGAATTTCGAAGAAACAACGCTCTACGCGGCTGGTTATTTTTTCAAGCGGCTCACCACAAAAGTGAGTGCGTGAATGCAGGTCACATTTGCTTATCACACGGCGAAAATCCAAAAACTCGTTAAGATATACGCGTATAAATTCTCTCGGGCGGATTCTACAGATTATTATGGTCTTCATTATCGTTAGCAGTTATACACAAGAGCGAGAATTCTTGGGCAACGACGTAACAGCAACGAGCAGCAGCAGCAGCAGTGCCCGTGCAGTATCAGTGGCGTACACGAGGCAGTCAAACACGAGAGTAAGGTGCACACGAGTGTTGATGCTCGAGCAAAAAGTCTCCAGAGACGTGGCAGTGAAATTAAACGCCTGTGTACACTCCTCTCGTTTAGCCTTGGAACAGCATTTCAATGAATCAAGCGATGAGCAGAATAGATACAGCGGATGGAATAAAAAAAATTAGCTGTCTTCAAAGCTAATGACAAAGACTTAAAAATGAAGCTTTTGAAATGGTGTTTGGGGTGATTTCTTCTTTAATGTTCTTGAGTGAACCTGAATGTAGAGCCGCAAGTTTTGGTGCCCCCATTATGATAAGCTCTTAATTGTTTGAAGAAATATAAAACACTGCACGTAATTCAACGCACTCGACTCATGGATAAACTATTTGCCAAAAGTTAATCGCGAGTATTCTCGAACTTCTCACTCTCCCAGCAAATAAGTGAAACAAACACGCACGCGGGGTTTTGACTAAACTTTCGATTGAAAGAGTTTAGCGTTGCGCGAAGAAAACCGAGTAAGCAACAACATCAAACGCTTTTTCATCGTATACGTTTATTTTGCTCGAGCGAAATACAAGCTATTCAAGAATGATAAAGTTACACACTAACCATCGGTGTGCGCCAGTTCGCGCACAGACGTATAACAATACACGCGCGCAGCATACGCTGCTGCCTGTGAACGGCAAGCAGCTCGCTGTTTTTTCGACTTAAGAAACTTTTTGTCTACCTTTTTTGCAGTCTATTTATAAATACCCGAGTCTTACTTTACTTCACCTCGATACTGCTCTTTCTGCGCCAATACATTTTCGCTTAGCAGTTTTTATTGGTCAGTTAATTTTCGATTGTAAATAGTTCGATTGCATGTTTCTCATTTAAATCGACTTTGTTCCGATGGATTTTCCATTTTTACAATTAATAAAAAAATCAGCTTGAGAAATGTAATTAGGCTGACCAAAGCCATTTGTGCTGATACAATTATGTAAAAATATATTTTTCCAGTTCCATCAACGGAGTTTGACGCGATTGCGGATATTACATACGCGGTATATTTTATTCTCTTCTCGCTGACTGCAAGTAACATGCGCGTAAGAAAAGGAGCACATACTGGAGTGTTTATCTACATAAATAATATAAGAAACATTCAAGTGCATAAAAAATAAAAAGAATAGAGAGCTTCCTGTCGCTTTGTTCGCTGCTCTTACCTTTTTACTTACCTTTTTCCATCTCTCTTTTTAGGCGAACGTAGCCTGTGGCATTCTTTGAAAATTCTACGTTTTCCTTTTTATGCCCTCAATTTCTCGTTCTTTTTTCCTTATATATCTATTTTCTGTTAGATCCACACTGTTCTCTTCGAATCTTTTTTTAACACGAATGAATGTCTAAAGAATCTAACGTAACAAGAAAGAAATAGTTTCAATTGGCAATTGAATAATTCGGTTGAGGGCTTTCAAATGAAAATAACAAGCACAGATTATTTTGAGTCGAATTAAAGTATAATTTTTATTTGAAAAATCATCTTCTTATACATATAATATTTTATTATTATATAATTAATAAACTATTTTTGGTTTTTAAAATTATGTTACAGCATTCAAACACGCCAATATAATGTAATAATATTAATAGTAATAAAAATGATAATAATAAATATAATAATAAATATAATAATTAGAATAATAGTAATAATAATAAAATTACATTGCACTATTGTAACATCGCAACATTGGATTTTCTCGCGTTTGTATATAATATGTAAAATTATGAAGAAACAATTAAAAACGGAGAAGAAAGAATATTGTACACTTGTTAGCGCAAAATATTTTACGACTAATTTTTCGTAATAGCTAAGAAAAACAATTAGATCTGTGATTTAAATGTATAAGTAATCTACAAGATTTTAGCTATACAATATATAAAAACAAGAGAATATTCTGAAAATTACTAAAATTATTGAATATTTTTGTAATACTCATGCGCTCGGTTCTGTTTCACACTTATGCACACATATAATATACACTCAAGCTTAACGTTTGTCTTTCCTGTTTTTTTTTTTTTCACTTTTTTTGTTCGTTCTTATTCTTTACGTCTCGACACTCGTGGAAAGGCAAAAGCTCTCGACATATACACAACATACATTTGCTCTGGCGGCAAAAAAATGCAAAAAAATTGCGCTAGAACAAGATATAGACAGGGTGGTGGGTGGTAGACGCGCGCTGTAACTCAACACCACGCTTACGTACTCATATATATTTTATAATAAATATGCACAGAATAGAAAACAAAGGAAACTCGTACTTACACATGTTGCGTCTTTTTTAGAGATGTATGCATAGATGTGTAATACGAAAACAACAAATGGAAAATCAGGACACATTCTTGCATCGCATGTTTTTTTTTACCGATGAGAATTACGTCTATATATAGCATATGTATGAACGAACGTTTGCCTTTTAGAGAGATGAGAAATAAGGTCGATATCACACATTCATATACGTATGTTTTTTTACAATCGATAGGTAGCGACGTTATAAAAACTCCTCGAGGAATATACACGATGAATGATTTTGTATATTTTGTGAGAAGTGGTTACTTCTTGGAGTACATATATAATATGAAATTTATTTTTTTCTCTTCAGCTTTTCTCTCTGATGCATGCGAGGTGCAGGTGAGCCTTCACGGGCGATTTAATATGTAATAAATATTTTTCTTTTTGTACCTCGTACTGTTAGTTTGGTTTTCAAGTTTTTTTTTCAACAAAGATAAGAATTCACGCGTTAACTTTTTGTTTTTTCATGGTTCAAATTTTTTCTCACCGGATCATAACGATCCGCTCACACTCGGGCTGCATCGGAGGGAGAAACAGCTTCTTTCGTTGTTTTTGTATTTCCAGTTATTTTATTTTTTATATGAATTTTTTTACCTTTTTTTCAATTTTTTTCTAAATACCATCATCCGAAAAAAGTAAAATCTCCATATTGGACACCTCGGGTTCCATTTATTGTGTTATATCATTTTCCAAGCTCTCTATCGTTTTCTCTCTCTCAATCACACCCATTCGTCCAAAAATGCGTGCATATAAATATACACATCTGCAAATGTTTATACTTATATGCACTTGAATATTTTTATATATAAACTATTTACGCCCATACGGATCATTTACAGTAATATTTTTTAATTTTCTAACCTTTTCTTTCCTTTCTTAGCGCTTTTTCGCGGCCTTACTTCAAAGTCTTTTTGAACAGGTAAGACGACTTGCGGAGGAATTTCATAGTTTTCTTTCTCTATTATTTCTTAATCGAAAAAGCGTATGCTTTTTGTTTTTTTTTTAATTTTCTAACTAATACAACTCTTATAACAATGTCTTGCATTCCTTATTACAATTATACAAAATCAATCGATTGAGCTTTTATAAATTGCTTTGCAACGAAAGAAGAACGAATAGAAAAGCGCAGCTGCAATACAATTTCTTATTTGTTGCGCGATGACAATAATGTTATGTTCTTTATCTTCGTTAGAAGTTTTTACTAAATGGCGAAAATTTTCAAGAAAAACTCGGATCATTTCTCTTTACTAGTTTTCATTTTCACGTGCCATTTTAAAAGCGCATCAACAATGTTGGTATCCTATACGTATATTTATATAAATTTATATATACAAAGTAAAATAACGCATATTACAACTATACACGTATAAAGACAAATTTCATTTATTTTCTTACTAATAGATAATATAATATAATATAATATACGCAATGCACAAAGAAATAGCGGAGTGTTTACAAATGATTAATAAAACTCTTTTTTCACGATAAAAAAATAATCCGGTACTTTGAGAATGACAATCATCTCAATTCTCGGTTAAATTAAACGACCTTAAAGCTTCGAAAGCGAGCTTATAATAATAGATATAACTTTTATCTCTCTTTTATCATTTTTTTGTTAAATCTCGCGCACGAAATAATCATATATTTATATATCTCAACATCATTGCTATGTACATTTGCACCAACCCACATTTATAAAGTCTTATTCAATTTTCTTTTCTACTTTATTTTTTCATTACTTCACATATATATATTATATATTTACTCATCTTTAGTTTTTTTGTCGTATTTACTGTTTCTTCGTAACTTTGAATTTTCTCTTAGTCTTGCATAATATATATATCATTTCGCTATGAAGTAATTCCTTTTTCGTGCGGCTTTCATAAAAACGAATTATTATATAAAATCGCCGAAGAAATGCGGAAGAACATATTTGGCGTCAGTTGACAGTAAATTTTCTTTTTTTACGCTCGACTATCTTCACTTACATTTTTTTCTTTGAATTCCACGCGCTAACAATTTAATCTTCCCATTTTCAATAGTAATTTTTGTTCCTTTTAAAGTCGTTTAGTAATAATAATCATTGATCTTAAGAGCGACAAAAAGTTTTGCTTTCTTAAGCTAAGCTTACTTACAAGTAATTTATCATCTACTTAATTCTTTGTACAATTAAACAGCTTAAATTGGTAATACGAAATTGATAACGAGTTAATAATATAGTAATGAGAATTACAATAATAATTGTAATAGTTAGTTACTAATTAATGACAATGACAATTATATATTAATTTAATAAGCGTTAGCCTAGTCAATAATTTGCATAAAATCATATAATCTGAATTTATCAACTTGTATCCCTTTAAGAATCACACTAACTTCCTGCTTGTGTCTTCATATAAATTTGAGCTTTGAAATTCTCTCTCTATAGACATTCATAGATTTGATTTTTATACTTGTTTTATCACTTCCATTTGACAGTCACCATATATCATTTGTTTCACAACGCTCGTTTACCATCTAAAATTACGTTAACCTTAACACGCACACGCACCCAAGTACACATTGAATTTTTTTTATAATGAGAATGCTTAAAAATTACCATGGAGACGGTTTCCCACTTCGAAAACACTTAGCTTTCATCCGTTATTATCAATATTTTTGAGACTTCGAAAAAAGACTATCACCTCGTTAATTTATTCTAATTTTCATGATTCGCACGCCTTACTAAACATAGAGAAGTAGATAAAATATAAAGGGGAAAATATTTAAATAATAATGGCTTAAAGAAAGCCATCTTCTTAAAACTCATCAAAAATACAAAATTCATTAAAAGTAATCAAACTTAAGTTAGAGCTTTACAATCCATTGAATAAAAGTAACTCCAATTAAAACGTGTATATCATGTATGAATATGGATAAAATTATAATTAGATCAACGTAAAATAAAAAATATAATTGAATTTATCTGTTCTTCTTTTATTTTTAACTCAAAGATAAAAACACGGCTATTTTTATACATATAACAATGTTGTACAAATCTTTGGTAGTTGACTTTAAACAATGTCAAAGCGCGCGACCCCCTTTTTCAATTCAACATTTGATTGCTGTGCTAAACAAAAATACGGTTGCATCCATACGATATTTCTATTTTTACCGATTATAACAGTTAAAAAGCAGGGCTGTTTGGATTTTACCGGCAAATTTGAAAAAGTGGCAAATTTCTTGAGGCTATAAATTACTTGTATTTCATAAACGCAACGATGTAAAATTTAGCGCTTATCAGTACATCAAAGACATCGAACAGAGAAATTGATTTTGATACATGACTTAAGTATCGTCCATCATCGACTACGTACCGTATGTAATTTGTTTGTGTGCAGATTTGTGCGGCATTTTTTTATTATTTTAGTACCGGTAAGTAGGCCTGACGCAAATTAAATCTCATTGATTGTTCAGTAGAAATAGAAGATGTATGAAATTTAATGCGAGCAGTATTGTGCGTAGTCATGTCAATAATAAAAAATTTTATTGTAGTTTTGAAGATGCGAATAGGTGGAAGATCCATGTTAAAAATCAGACAGCTACAGCTAAGCGTAGAACTTTTATTGCGCCCAAGCCAACATTTTTCTAAACTGATTTTGAAAAATTGTAATACTGAAAAAATCACGGCATTCGTTTATACCTAAATTCACTCGTATTTTATTGGGCTCCTCAAGATAGTATCATTAGTATTGTTGTACGAAATCCTTATGTTCATTATGTAAATTTTACTTGATTCGCAATCTACTTTTTGATCTTCTATTAAAAACGATTCATCTGACGCTACCCACCATTCTTTATAGTTTTACGAAAAAAGCGAAAAATCATTTGAGCATAAAGAGAGAAATAAAAGTCGGAGCCTATTTATTGAATAGATTATTTAGACCATTACGCAAAAATAAACATTAAAGTCAAATTGTAACGAGATTGATAGTTCATCATATAAATTCAATGAAAATAATTTTAAATATATTTTAAAATTGTATCATAGTTTAATAAAATAATCTTGGTTTTTAAAATGAGTAAATAAATACTCTTTTTAGACTCTTTTCGGCGAGATGCAATTTAAACGATCGAATGAATTCAATGGGTTGGTGAAAAATAATTTGGAGACGGAGTAGATAGCAATGCTTATAATAAAAGAAGGTAATGATATAAAAAAAAGAACAAAAGCGCAAAAGGATAGTGTTGCAGTGCAGCGGAACGTTTTCATTTTGTTTATTTTCGTTTAAGTTTTATTCTTTTCGCATTTCCCTTCCGTAATCTACTTTCTTATCATTTTTTAACAAAACCCTGCTATTAGTGACTTTTATATTTTTATACTCCTTATATAGATGGGAAGAGTATATGAATTTTAAGAAAACATATTTTTCACAGCTTCATTGATAAAATTAGTTTTTTCAATATTTTAAGATGTTTGCGTACATAAACGTGTACATTTATTTATAAAATTAAGGTAAATTAAAAGAAATTGTTATATCTTAGAAATGCTTTTTGTATGTTTATGCGAATTTTCATACAAAAATAGCTCTTTTATTTATATATTAAAAATTTTTTTGGTAATATTCTTTTATTATCGTATACTCTTCCCAATTGAATTATTTATAAGCGTCTGTCTTTTTGTAAGTCTGTTTCATAAAGTATTATCATAATTTGTCATTATTTTTTCGTTGCACGAGGCTGTATTTTTTTTCATCTCAAGGTGTCCACACGTATTCCAAACTTTTCTTTTAATACTCGAATATCTCTTTTACACACACGATGTATACGTTGAATTTTTTAATATTCATTTATTCATACGAACTAGTACAAAATTACAATACTCGGATATCAGGTAGTCTCCGACGCTTTTGCTTTTTTTTTAACGCACGTATAATTAGCTATTTTTCTATTTCTTACTTCGTAAAGCAATGCTTTTTAAATATTTCATTATCTCGATATCTTTTTTGTTTCTTTTAATCACATTATCATACGACGACGCCTTACCTTTTATTACAATTATACAAGTAGATGATGTATACAATGAGGTACGGAATTCATTATTTTTTAAAATCATTCTTATTTCTGCGACGCGGAAAATAGAATCCACGCTTTTTCTAATAATATCCTAATCATACATTTTTCTTTCGCTACTCATATTTAATTACTTTAATTATCTTGACCCCTAGATTTTCCGGGACACCAAAACTACAATATAATTTATACGCGTTTTATGAGTATTACTTTTGCCATTAATCTGTTTGATAGGCTCTTTCTGCGTTGAAAAAGTTTATTCAAATTTTTTAATCAATTTTCAATCTGTGAAACACGCATATAAAACGATTGATCCTAGATCAATCGTACACCGATAAAAAAATTAAACCTGATACCAAACAAATGAATACCTTTACTTGAAATGACGCCTAAAGTTTTGCCAAAGATTGAAAATGGCTCAAGATCTAGTTGGCTATCCACATAATCTGAAAATATGTTTCCTTATTTTGTGAATAGTTACACGGCGTTTTACGTATCACTTCCCGTTCTAAGTACTTTCTTCTAAGTATTACGGATAAATAAAATATTTTTGTTCGCTAGCGTATTTTGATTTTTCATTAAAGCACTGAATCGTTCGTTTTGTCTCTGCTATTACCCAACGAATCGAAGGGACTTTCAATCTTTGGCAAATCAAAAGGTATAATACAGTAATTCATCGATTTGTTCGACATTGGCTATGATTTTTCTATCAGAGCATAATATAAATATGATTTTTGACGATCATTTACTTTTACTTACATTCTTTTTCATTTATATTTTTTTATATTCTTCAAAGACGGCTACCGATCGATTTTCAACATCAACGTATATTTAAATCGCTCTCAAGTTGCACTCACCCCCAAAAACAAATGAACTATTATACATCGTTATACACGCGCTGCACCATTGTTTTATTTATTCAATTATTCATTTTATTTATTTTTAACCAATCTCATATCATCATTATTTCATTTAATTTGTAATCAATTGAATCAATTAAATTTAATATTCGCATAATATATCTAATCCCGTCACGTATGTGTATCAATAATATATCAATCGCCGTCGTCGTATAATCGTAATCGAAAAACCGTCGCGAGTCACGGCCAAGCTCGTGTACGACGATCCTTCAAACGAAAATATTAGAAACGATTTTTTAAAAATTGAATCTTTCATCTCCGTAATATATATATAATTATTTATATTCTTTATATAATTATATTAGTCATAAATCTTTCAACGCTATCTAAAGAACAATTAGATGCGCTCTAAATACTCGCCATATTTACTTTATATTTTACGATACCACAATGTATTTTTCATTTTCATTATCTTTGAAATCATCATTTATAACATTTACTTTAATTTAAATTTATTTTACACACCCGTATAAAATTCCTAAAAACCCTAATCTACCTACATATGAAATCGGTGTGTACGGTTTTATGTACGGTTGCGTTAGATTATTCTCAGCATCTCTAATCTTTTATAATCTTCGTTTACATACATATGGCGTTTAATTAGTGACTATATTTATGAGACTGACTCGATTTTGGTTGGAAGAGTTTTACGATCACCTAACGATTGACGAGAATCGTTTTTATTCGTTATTTTTACTCTATACATGGTATAACATATTGTTAATTTTATATGTATTTATGTAATTATACTTTTGCGTCCAGCTTTAAACCTAACGCACATTTTGCATGCTTCAAAAACTTTTTTCCCCCTGCATATAGTTCGTTTTATTTTCAGATCGGCAATTCACACTTTCGCTCCGTTTCGGTATTGCATTTTACACGCTGGAATAACACGAATTTTAATATGTATACGTAAGGAATGTCATTGAATGAGACCAACATAAAATTCCCGCGCGACTTGTTACTTTTTTCGCAGAAAATTAAAAACTTTCATCTAAGCATCAACAATGCAACTCTTTTCATCCTACAGTTCACGATTCTTTCTTGTACTCGTTTTCTTTTCCGGTTGTCATACATAAAAATGCATATGGAGCACCCTACATTCGGGTAGAATTATCAATGATCCCACAGGTCATATACACGCGCATTACGCTGTCATAAATACATGCTTGGGTACGAGCGCGTATACGTAATATTATAAAGTAAATTTCGAGTTTCGCGTTTTGGCCACTGAATTATTTTTTTTTATTATACTTTAGAATTTCACACGTACTTCATATGTTTTTTGTTCGCTAGATTATCGGACGTTTGGATTTTAGTCTTTTACGGTGATGGATTTTGTATGTTACGTACTGTTTAATTATACTTGTAAGCTATTTTATGTTAATGAGCTCGAAAGAATTTTGAATGCTCATCGACGTACTGCGAGATCAAAACTAAAAGTTAAATTACATTGTATAAAAAATACTTATTGCGCGACGTGGAAAAATCTCACTTTTGGAATGTTCGTTTAATAAAAGCCCGAAAATCATCGGCAAAAAAAAATTAAATAAATTTTCATAATACATTTAAAAAAAGTTAATATTAAAAATTGAACAAGTTCATGTGATTTTATTCATTTTTTAAATAAAATTGCACAATTTTTATTTATCAGTTGAAATTCTAAACCTGAAAAGTCTCTATAGCACAGAAAACTATTGAAAAGAAGTAAGATTTCATGCTTCAAAAAGTTTGAAATGGCAATGATGAAAGTAACAATAACAGCTAGGGGAAAAAAATGAATGGTTACACTCCCACTCCTTTTTTTATTTTCTGCAAACATGATAAAAACTCGTTGACTAAAAAAAAATGGTAAAAAGAAAAACGGTACAAAAAAACAGAAAGACACTCCGATCTGTGAAAAGCTGACGATGTTCAAGCTAGTGCTAACTGCAATCCGAACAGACAATGCGCGAGCGTGTGACACTTGGCACCAACAGACGCTCGAGTACAAAATGACTTTTCTATTGCGCTCACTCCAAGCTCTTGTTTTGAATTTAAAAAACGAAATGATACTTTTTTTTACGAATTTGCACATCCAACAACAATGCATTGAGTTGTTTATCATCGAACAAGCACAAAAACATCGACTGATTTCGTTCGTAATATCAATAAACGAACTTTTTCAAAATTTTACTAAACGCGGCACGAATATCGCTACGTTCTTGTGCAGTAACCGAATCATCAACAATCAAAAAGTTCAAATCTTACGGCGATTTTTATGTGTTATATTACTGATGAAAAATAGCTTTTTATCGTTCTTTGTAATGTTAAGTTTATCAAGTTCTAAATTTCAAAATGGATTTTTCTATACGGGCAATAGACTTATTTGAGAAATTTTACGTTACATAATTACATAGAAAAATTTACTATTCACATTGCACTACAAAAGGTGCCAGAATTATATCTCATTGTGCAATCACAACAACTCTTGGGTCATGTTGGTAAAAGCGTAGTATCCAATGTTTTTGGTGACACGTGCATGTGTGTGTGTATCAAACTTACAAAAATACGAAATATGAAAGTCGTATGTTTTATTTTTCGTTTTGATGCACGCACCTACAAGGATTTTCGGGCACATGTATACCAACGATCAACATACACATACTAGCGCGTTTGGTTTTTGACGCTTCTTTCATTCTTTTTGAGCGTAATGACGTTGTGCGATCGTAGCAATCCTTGGCGAAGATATATTCGTTTTTTTTAGTTGGCATCGACGCTCATACTCCTTTATATAAAACGATGCTACATCGTCGCCAGTTTTAAATTATGGCAGTGATCCTAATGTGTCTCATTGAAATAAGTTCACTTTACAATTCGATAACAATTACAATAATTACGAAAAAAGCGCATTTTTTTATCTCTCTCGCGTTACGATTTGTCAAAAGTAATGAGTTAATGCTCTCTTTTTATAATATTTCTCCGTCAACGCGGGGGTGAAAAACTGTCGTCGTCACTGTCCTTGTCCACCGTCAAGGTCTATTTCTCTCTTGTCGCGCGCTATCACAGACGTCACATCGATTACATAGTACTTTACTAGATTTGTGTGTATTTTGTGCTTGTTAATTAAACCTCTTGTCGAAGTTATATTATACCGAATATATATGTGGGAGTCGCTGCTGCTGCTATCGAGCAATGCGTCGTTGGCACGTGCTGATACCTCCTCCTTCTTCTTGTTCTTCTCGACCCCTTCAGCCATGGCGATGGTGCTGCAATAAGGGTTAGACGTGTCTCTTCATGTGCAGCGCCAGATGATCGCTACGCGAGAAGCAGCGATCGCAGTGCCGACATTTAAAGGGTTTGGCACCGGTGTGCTTGCGGTAGTGGCGCGTCAGCTCGTCCGAGCGGGCGAAGCGCCACTCGCAGCCTTCCCAGCTGCACTTATACGGCTTTTCACCTGTGTCAACAGAGAGAGAGAAACAAAATCACACAATTAGTAACCAATGATTCGATGAAGCATTTGAAAATATAACATATAATATTTACACAGTAACGTATAACATATAATAATTGCAATAATGTTTTTTTTAGGATAGTGAACGCACAACAGCGTTTTTCACGGCGAGGCTGCTTTCAGTACGGGCCGCGCAGAATAAAATTAGGAAATAAATCGCTCGGATGCATAAGACGTTATGAGGGCCGTTATAGCTCGCGTGCGCACGGAGAAAGTATATACGGCATGGTTTCTTAAACAAGCCATTAACTTTCGACGTTGTAATCAAGCACTTGGCTGTATGGAGGGCATACAAGGCTGCTGCTTGGCTCTCGTTATATTCCTCAGCCGCAGTACCTAAGGCAATTTCCGATAAAGCCCTAAAATTTTCCATTACAAGCAACGGGAGAGCGAGAGCCGGCGAACGAGCGGACGAGCGTCGGCAACTGTATGCAGCATGGCATGTACAATTATATTACATCATCCGCATATGTATACGTGCTGCTGCTGTTGCTAGTCTAAACAAGAGCCTAGCTTGCGAGGCTCGTTTTTCACGATTTTCAGCTTTCGATGTGTTGCTGTACACACCGGGTATAAGCTATACACGACGGCGGCAGTGGCAGTGAGAAAACGGGTACACGCGATGAAGCACATCAGCGAAAACGATGGGCAGGTACAGCAGCGCTCGATGCTGTTGCTACTGCTGCTGCTGCTGCTGCATCGCATTATTAAGCCGTAAATAATGTATTTCAACATCAGCGTTAAGTAGACTGAGCAGGTGATGTAGATACAAGAGAAAGAGAGAGAGAGCGAGGAACACGGGACGGAGTAAGCTGGAGGGTGAGGAGTCAGGGACGAGGGAGCTTTCGCAGACAATATGCTCACTGTCTAGTTACACCACCTGTGGCGCATTAGACGATGCCTCGCGCTATATATACCTACTCTCTCAGGCCAGTGTATATAAACGCGAGCAGTAAAGAGCGAAAACGAGAATAAAAGAGAGAGAGAGAGAAAGAGAGAGAGAGAGAGAGAGGAAGATCGAGGTCGAGTGTGTTAGCAGAAACACAGCGGAGGTACGTCGCGCCGTCGGCTTCTTGCGTCACGAGCCAACCAATTTTGAGAATCGACTTTGGATATGAGCTAAAGTTGAAGAGAGGTTTATAACACATGCATGCGTCGAGCTTTTGATTGTTGTTCAGCTTTCTTTCAATTTTCACGATACCTATAGTGTATTTACTATTGGAAAAAATATACTCGTCCACTGCTTGTGTATATTCTGAAGTAATGAAAATCATAAGAAGCTAATACAGCATTATGAGTTTTTAATATTAGGTGAATTCTCGAGAAGAATTGAAAAATATCCTGTCTTAGGGCTAAATATTGTGAGCAGTTTATAAGTATCTTGATTGATTAATGGAGTGTCGCTGCGATATGAGTCAATTAATAGTTCATGGGCTAGATGCCGCATGTTTTGATTATGTTCCCGATAGAAGGGGTAAGCAAGTCGCGAAACAAAATTCGTATAATTAAGGGGGCTATAAACTAGTCAGTACGTATAAAAGTCTCGTAACGGTCTCACAGTGAATTTTGCTCTTATATACGTATGTATATACAAACACGGGACTTAAAATAAATACAGTGTGCGTATTATAAAAAAGAAAATACCAAACAAGTAACAGCAAGTAGCAATTGCGACCAAGGACCTGACAGTACGGAACACACGCACGCACACACTCGTACTAATTAGGATATAAAATTAGTAATTTTAAAAGACGACAAACATGGTTTTATGTAGAGTATGCGACACACACTTAGAAAATCCGCAAAGGGACGCATTTTGCGATGGATGCAGAGAAGAATTAAGAACTTCTTCACCATCAATATTTTGGACGAGCGTGGGGACATGCGAAACTTGCGGAATAACTAACACGGAAGACAGTTTAAGTGATCTCCTTTTGGCGTACATCCTGTATTGGTATCCTTTCCATCATCCTGTCTGGGGTTTTCTCGTACGCGTTTACATTTTTCTATCCATGGCACGCCGCGGCCTCAATGTGTTTACTGTGGTATACATACTATGCTGGATATTGGAGATGGTGCTTACTGTTATTTACCAACAAATGAGAGTGATGAACTGAGGAAATAGCGACTGAATTCATTCCAGTTGTACATGAAGAGTTGACGTGAGTATATACTCATATGTTAGTGTGCATGAAATTGACCATAATTTTTTTTAAGAAACGCAATTAACCCCAAAACATGGTTGCACTGCATATTGATGGAAATTTCAGCCGTTCTTGATTTTTAACAAGAACGTACAAACGGCAGAAGTACTTTTACTTTTCATTCATTCAATAATATAATTTTTGCTATGGTGTATTGTTTACTTTCTTTTCTCTCGGCTCGTGTATTGTTGACAACTCAGAGTCTCGTTTTGCGCGCGACGTACTATTATTATTCAGATTCGTCGACCAATACAAATGTTACCGTTCGTATAACGTTAAATTCGATAATTAATTCGTTTATTGTTTAACTTTTAAAATTTATGTTTCTCGCACGATGAGCATCGTGTATTACGAATAATTTCGCGATAATTGATGTAACTCGAGCTCTATTTTGAAAATATGAAAACAATATAAACGATGCTCTTGACTTCGGTTTATTACAATTAACACTTTGAAATAAATCGAGGATGGTCCGATCGGAAGGTCGATCATCGTATTGTTTAGTCGTATAACGCGTATTGTAATCCAATGTCTAGATAATGTAATACTTCCTATTTGGCTCTCTAGTTCGATCCCACAAAGTTTTCTGCGCAAACCATTCCGAATTATCCACGAGAACATGTGATTGATAATCAAAGCCTGCGCTAATGGTACAATCGATATCACAAGTCTATACGGCGTCAGTTCAATGGCCCAAATAGCAAACCAGTTTGAGCGAGCATATAAATTCATCATTTATAAAATAGGAAAAAAAGCCCGTGTCCGGTAATGGCCAGTAGCATTGTCGTAATAAATCGGCCTAACAAGCGCTCGAAGATGTTATGCAACAACGAACAGCGCAACGAGCTGCAGCAACAGCAGCAGTATGAACTATAGCGCGTTGGAGAGATCAATTATAACTTTCTTCATGACTAAATCACAATAACGAAAAATGCCCTGGCCGTGCGCGCGATACCTTCGCGTCGATAACAATTTTGCCCGAAATTCAACGTGCCATACGAGAGGTCTTTTTCTTTCTGTCAGGTTCACAATAAGAGTTGGAATTTAGCACTTTTTGTCAGTGCGCGCGCGCGCGTACTCGTGGAAAATGGTGAGGATTCGACAAGCGAATAAACGTAGCTCACGCACGCGCTTTTTCTATTTCTCTTTTTCTCTCTTTCTCTTCTGCTCTTTTCGAAAGATTATTCAAAGTCCCTTCGTTGGCATTTATTTACACTGGGCGCTTACTTTTCCAGTGCGTTAAGGCTGGGAAATAAGAAAATTCCACAGCGCATGGAGAGAGAGAGAGCTAGATATAGGGATGCTAGAGAACAGGGCGGCGGGTTGAAGGAGGGAGAAATTCTTTATCAACGTCGTGAAATTTATTCCGAGCATTGTCTTTGCAATGTAAGAGGCTTCTCTCTTCTCGAGAGCTTTTTTGCCAGCTCCGTCTCAGCGGCAGCAGCAGCGCGCGAGAGACGCCGACAAATCCACGTAGAGCGTGGCGACGCATAAGCTATATACCATAAGCACGTATGTGTGGGTTATGCATACATACACGCGAGTGGCAGCGCCGCAGCTCGAATTCCTAACACGTGTAAGTATGTGCCCGGCCTGTATATATGTAGATCCTAGCAACGAAGAGAGAGAGGCAAGTCAAAGGGATGTCAAGAAGAAATGGCTCGGACGAGATGTGGGAGGTAAAAAAGTTTGCACATACCTACACACAAGAGCGCGGAATGATGCATGTAGGGCGCAGAGGGCAGAGAGAGAGAGAGAGAGAGAGGGCCAGAGGGTAAGCGGGGAAGGAAGGGAGTTTGGCATAAGGTAAAAAGGAAATGGGTAAGAAGCCTGCTGATTTGCGTTGAGAATTTTTTATACAAGATGATATCCTTGCAAGAGCAAAGGAAAAAGCACGTCAAAAAATAAAAACTCAACTGGCGCGCGCGAGCGTGCAGCAGCAACTTGCATAAAGCTAGAAATGAACTATTTTTCAAAAAAAGTAAAAAAAAAAAAGAAAGAAAAGGATAAAGCTGCTCTCGTGCAGCCACTCGAGTTCAAGTTATGAAAACAAGCGTACGGGCGCGCGCGAATGAATTTTTTGCAATATCGCCGGTGAAATGTAACAAGTTGTATTCCGCGAGAGCTCGATTCGAGTCGCGTCTCGGACCCAGGCGCGCTTTATTTCTCATTACTTAAGAGCGCCGCGCGTGCAAACCGTACGCGCAAATTCATTTCAATGCTGAACTGCTGTGTACGCTTTCATCGCCTGCTACTTTTTCTCTCTCTCTTTCTCTCTTTCTTTTCCATTCGCAATACAATTTCGGGGCGTTAAAGAAAGCTGCATCAGTCTCGCTCTCGCGAGTCGCCGTTGCCGCCGTTGCCGCCGCCGTCACCGCCGCTCGACGGAGTAATTTCATTCGAAACGACGATAATTCCATTTTAATAACCAACCTCGGCCGAGTACGCGTCTTTGTTGCGGCAATTTAACTTTTGCCTCGCTTGTGTATACATAAAAGATCGCCACCGTCGTCACTGTGCGTTGTCTCTCCTTCTCTTTAACTCGTTCCTTGTCTCTCTCTCTTGCTTTCATTTTCAACACGCATAGTAAAGCTTCGAGAGCTTTCAACATTCGTTTTTTCACACGCCTTGTATCCTTCAGAAAAGCCTTTGAAACCGCAAAATACGTAACTGCTTTGCTCGAATTTAACTCCTTCATATTAGTCTCGCATTTAGTACAATTACATTTTCTTGGTCCTCTTCGTCGTTTCGCCCCTCTCTCCGATCCTCTCTTCATTTTCCATGACTTTAATTTTCATTGGATATGAGATTTTCAATACAATTATTCATATTGTACTTTTCGATCTATAACCGCATTTCTGGGAAAAAAAATCTAAAATCAAACAAAAGCACCGAATTCGGTTAACCAATTTCGTAATTTTATTTCACTCAAAGCGCAAGCCGAATAGTGACAAATTTGATATCGCACCGAGCGCGTAGAAAACGAGATTATTTGATACATACATGTACGAGCTATCAGTGAAATTGATAAAAGGCAGAGAGAGAAAGAGAGTGCGAGAGAATCTTGCTGAAAAATCACGATAGCAAATGGTTAACCATAAAATCCCAACGGCGGGGTAATATATACATGAGCTGCTACTGCTAGCCGGGCTGCACAAAGCAGAAGTGACAGAGGCTATATTATAGCTACATCAGGGAAAGAGAAGAGAAGAGAGAGACAGAGAGAACTAGCGAGGCGGTGGTAGAGGGCCGAGGCACACGTGTCGGAGACACGGCCGCAGAGATATAATACAATGTATGTTGCACAGGCAGTAGCGCACACACGTCGCGCATTTTATCACCGAGTAATAGCCTTCTCTCTCTCTCGGACCTACCCCCCTCAGCTGTGTAATAAAGCCATATTAAACGAGACGGACGCGCGCGCGCGCCTGCCTGCGGCTTACTGTTACACACTGTTGTACTGAATTACATCGGGTCTGCAGGCGTTGCCGCCCCATCCTTATACAGACTCTCGCTCTCTCTGCCTCTCTTTCTCTCTTGGCTTTTTCCCGTCCGAGCTACGAGCGTGGCAACGAGATTAGATTTCTTTAAGCGCTCGAGGATTTTGTCTTTGTTTCGTGCGCGCGCGCGCTGGATGTCGAGCGACGCTCCGTGCTGTCCCTTCGGTATCACTAATTTAGTCGAGCTTTTATCCAGTCGTTTCTAATCACGCGCCGCGATTCTTTTATTTCTCCCTATTTTTTTTTCAGACTACACGTACAAACACACTTACACTCGTGCATCAATCTCGCAGTTACTCCAGCTCAGTGCTGCAGCGCAGATTTCGAAAATGCTACGTGAAGCCAAGATAAGGAGACGCGTCGGCTGCTCGGTCTCGCTCACGTTCAGCCAGTCAGTCCAGGCCAGCTCTCCTCTGACATATCGAGGTAATATAGCGCGAGCTAGCTGCGAGCGACTGCATCGTCACGATGCTTTACATACATACATACATACAGCACATGTATATAGGCGACGTGCTCTCGGGACATTTGGCTCCGGCCCTTTTATGTGCTAGTATAGTAGAGCTCTATATAGCTGGAGCCTGGCTGTGCTACAGCAACGGCACTCCTTATCCGCGCGCACATCTGCCGAGCTTATCGTTCAGCCACCTTACTCTCGCTTGGGCCTGGACCTCTACTCTGACGCTGCGGGAACGTATTAAAATAAATTAACTTTATCGCCGACCCCTTCTTCGGGCGCTTTTTTTCAATTGTCTTCGCCATTCGCTTCTTCCCTTTGGCCGACCATATCATCTTTTGCATTTTATTAATTTTTCCGTCCGGCTCTACATGTCTCTCGACTTATGACCGCAATTCGTGCGGCGCGCTTCGAGGCGTAATATTTTAACTCACAGCCGAAAAAGACACTGACGTGATTATTGCATTTTTTGGAAATTTTTCTCGCACTCGAGGTGTGCTTTGTATATATCGCTGGGCTACGTATACGTATGAGCTCGAGATCAAAAAATCCTTTGCACAAAATTCCTTTTCCTCGTCAGTGACGTCGAGACATCGTCGACACTAGATGAAAGCTTAGAATTACACCTACGCTCACATCACATGCACACTCCAACACACACACACACACACACACACACACACACACACACACACACACACACACACACACACACACACCTACACATACACTAACGTACAGAGCAAGGCGAACTTGTGCTTCTCTTTAAGCATTCAAGCGGCGCGCGAAAGTGAATCTCGTGCAGCTGCGATATTTCTCTCTCACTCTCTCCCTTGCCTCTCCACGTGATCCGCCGCTGCGCGCTGAGTTAGCTGAGCGCGCCCAGCGAGATGGATGCTGTATTACCAGGGGGTTGTAAATCAATGTTATTTGTTTTTTTCACCGGCTCAGGGAGAAAAATGTATATATAAATAAGCTATACACGTTTTTTACTTTGACTACACGCGCGCACGCGAGCGATCGCGTTTGATCGATGTCCCCCCCGTTGTTGGCTAATCTCAATTCCCGCGCTCGCGCAACCAGATGTTTGCCAACTACGTGCAAAGAAACGCAATTATCAATGCGAATAAATGGTACGTAGCTGCTTCTCTGACGCCAAATCCCATACCAGGGACGATGCGAATGTGCACGAGATATATATACGAATTTCCCCAACGCTGACCTCTCTCTCTCTCACTCGAAAAACTGCTGCAGTATTCTTGAAAATTAATCTGCTACACAATCCGCATTTGCAATGTATATATGCGTATACACTCCTCCGTGGCCAATGGCGAGATTTACGAATTCCGTGAGTATACATTTTTACATCGTAGCCTGCAGTCTTTCTTTCGCTTCCGAGCTCTCTCTCTCTCTCTCTCTCTCTCTCTCTCTCTCTCTCTCCCTCGACTCTCAACGCGTGGACTATTTATTTATGTATCTCGCGTGCAGTTTATTCTACGCGCTCATCTCTCTTCAGCACAGAAGCTTCTCGCTTCTTTTCATACCGATACACGTATATACGTATATAAGAGCTGCAAGGGGGTAAGTCTAGTATCTCGCCATTATTTACGAATTGCATTACGGCCTGTGCAAGTATCTGAAACAAACGAAGCTGCAGAGTGTGTATGTGTATGCGAGTGTGAGTGTGCGATGAGCTTTTCTTCTAAGAAAAAGAAGGAGACGATGCACTGAAGGGGGGCACGGCTGCGCTACAAAGTAAACTTCTTTATCTCTCAAGCCGCCAAGAGCTCCTCGCCTGTTTGTTGTGCTAAGTTTTATACTTTAGGATCGCAGTGCCAGTAAGTATACGCTGCTGTTGCTACTGCTGCTTTTTGTGTATAGATATTTAAGATCTTCGCTGGCCATTCTCGACTCTTTGCCTCACTCGAAACGAGCGCAGTGTACGTCGAGAAAAATCGCTGAATTGTTATTGCATAGCTCTCGCGTGCAACATGTCTCGTCCGTGCGTCATGCAAATGGGTCTCTCTTCAATTGCTCTCCCATCGACGAACTTAGTCGTCAATACTTTTCGTACGCAAAATAGAAATACAAAATCTGCTGTTCGGTATTTATTGTTGAAAAATATATACTCGTACACTGCTTGTATGTACGTTGAGAAGAAATGAAAATATAAGGAAGCTAGTATAATATTACATATTTTCGTTATTCTTGCAGAAATTTATCAGTAACATCTCTCAAGGTGAAAACATAGGTTGTAAGCATTTTGATTGGTTCATGAAATGTCGCTGCGGAATATATGAATTGTAGTCTAGTGACTATATCCTGTGTGTTTTCATTAGGTTACCTATAGAAGGCGTGAGTGAATCGCAAAACAAAATGCGTATAATTAGAGACGCTGTAAAGTAGTTACTCTATATTGGAGTCTCGTAACGATCTCTAGGCGACGTTTGCTCCTACGTATGAATACGACGATACATTCATTATGTCTTTAAGACGAGTTATGATGGATTTCGTTGCTGCAGCACTCGTATACTCTTACCCATTTGCAAATCATAATGTAGGTTGGTGGCTACGTTTCCTAATGATGTGTTTCTCATCGTGAACTTATTGTTTTTTACCTATTTTGCTATTTTTTGGGAAGAGACGGTATAGTCATATTCCAGTATAGTCATACTTGTGAGGAGGTGCAACCTTCTTAGTTATAGTCGTTACCTATTTTGGCGTTAGATTTTGTGTGAATATAAATTCGTGTTCTTGCATTCGTATTGTTATCGTTATTTTCTCTTGTTTCGTGTATTGTTGACACTTCATTTTCGTATCCCTCTACGCACAAAATACTATTATTATTCAGATTCACCGACCGAAAAAATTTAATAGTGGTTTGTTTCTCTCACAATGAGCATCATACAATATTTATCATTTCATGATAATTGACCTAACTTGAGCTCTATTTTGAATATAAGAACAATATAAACAAGGCTTTTAATGTCGGCTGGTTACACTTGACATGCCACATAATATAAATATTATGTATTATCTTTATCATTATATCAAATAAATGCCATTCGTTTGATTGCAGGTACGTCCTTAAAGGTGGTTTAGAGGTAAAAGGCGTATCGAGCTTGCACGTGGACAAGGCCGCGATCGATATGGATCGAAGCAAAATTGACAATGATCTGTGGGACAATGGCGAGCAAATTTAGACAACGAGGTCAAGCTGCTGCTTCTGCTTGATGTCAATGAGTCCAGCAACTCATTGGTAGTCAAGCAGATGAAGATCATCCACGAGACCAGTTATAGTCCCGAGAAGTGCTATAACATACAAGTCGGTCGTCTACAGCAACATCATACATAGCCTCATTGCCATCATTCACGCCATGAAGTCTTCGCGGATCCAAACAATAAAATTTTAATTCTAATAGTCGACGAGTCATTGTACAATCTGTATATATATAATTCCACAGTATAACAAATTGTAATTTAAATTTTTTTTATCTTTATCGATCGCGGCATTAAAGTTGTTTCGTACTGGAATAAAAATAAAAAATAAAATAAATGAAAGAATTGAATTGGCGTAGTCGAGCGCGAGGCATTATTGGTTACCGAGGCAACGACGTACGTAAGTTTAAGCTTCCTCGTATATTGCATCGATCGAAAATCGTGGAAAATAAGTTGAGTTTATATCGATACTAGCCGTAATTCGCATGAGCTTAGAGAGTCTCTCTTTCTCTATGCTTCTCTTTATACGCATTACAATGCATGAGAGCATAATACAGAGAGGGAGAGAGAGAGCGGAGGGGACGTGTACGCACGGCTTCCTAAATCCTTCATATCTTCCAAGTACCAAGGAGTCTTTACTCAGAGATCGCTTATTAATGGCTCGTTAACCTGAAATTAGTCCGGCGACTGTATGCACTGGATAATTCCGAGTGGCTGATCCATATAGGAACTCTTAGTCTAGGACGCGTTGCATACACACGAGCATATAAGTGCAATTTTTTGCCCTTTCGCGCTTTTTTAGTCAAATTTGGACGATATAGCAGGTTACGCAAAGTGTCAAAGAAAGAAAAAAATAAGCGACACGCGTTTTGAAATTTACAAGAAGATTGGCTTATTTCGTTTGAAATAAGAAAAAACTTACAGCTGGATGATGGCGCATTCAAGGATTTTATTGCGAGCGATTCGGGCAATGGGTATCAATCGATTCCACGTGAAATAAACCTCGAAAATAGCCAATATATACTGCATGGTGGCAAGTGTATCGACGCTAACACACACTTACACTTACGTATAAACAGTATTGCTCGAGAAGGAAAAAAAAAGGAAACATTTTCGAAGGAGAGGCAAGATTCGCAGCTGTAAACACACACTCGCTGTGCACAGTAGGTCTTCCCAGTGGACTTGAACAAACCTTCTTTTCTCGCTCTCTCTCTCTCATTTACTGACCTTAGAAAAAGGAAGCAACGATGCAACTTTTTTCCTTTGGTCACACACTGGGAAATTCGATTCGAGATCAAAGTCAAGCGTTACTTTTTTTCAATCTCCTTTCGACCATTCCTTTTTTCGATTACTTCTCCACCTAGCAGGCTGGCTCCTCCCGTTCCTCCTTCCTCTCCAATCTCAAAGTCTTTTTCATAAAGGCCTCTGAAACGAGTACACCTATAGACGAGGAGCTTTACAAACAGATTGCATCGGGCGACATCAACATCGCAGCTCGTGTCTCCGAACGGTACAGTATATATACGTGCTTCGCGCACTACAGGAGCACCAGCAACAGCGGCAGCACAAAGGACCAAATTGTATTACATGAATGGCGCAGACGATTTAGCGAAAAGATACATACGCGCACGAGTCTTGATTCTTCAACGAGGTGCCAATGTAATTCCCTTCTTGACTTGAAAATTAAACTAATATATTTTTCAACGCACTTCTTTTAAAGCAATTATTTGAAAAGGATTTTAAAGACCTCGGGTGGCGCAGAAGTGACGAAAGAAAAATATCTAGCGCGAGCTTTTGACATAATTTCCGGGGAATTACGAGACAAGAGCAAACGAGCATTATAATATCCCTAGCCACTAACTCTCTCTCTCCCTCATTCCGCATGCACACGCCCGCGCATGTGAAGGCTCGGGTAGAGAGGCACACGCCTGTACATATACTTTTCACGCTCAGTACTGCGAGCGCAGCAATGCAATTCGCGGCTTTCAGCAGCCGCCAGACTGCAGCGCGCAACTACCGCAGACTTGACTGCCTGCCTGCTTGCCCCCCTTGCAACAGGAGAGCCTGGCGTGGTGTAAAGGCAAAAGCCTCGAAATTCGAATGTGTGTGCGCGCGCGGAACGCGAGAGCTCGTTGATTTGCATTTTGTGCGCGTCAAAGGCCTACGTATGTACGTACGAACATACATGGCACCGTGTTGCCAGCTGCTGCTGTTGCTGCTACTGTAAGCCGTCAGTAGAGCTTACGCGCGTGCACACTCACACCCTCCCACGCACACTAGAACGAGCTTAATGCAAAAAAGCTCGTGCACACCGCAGCGCAGCGAGAGAAACGCCGCATAGTGGAGCGAGCAAATCGTCAGTAGGGCTTCACAGCGAGTATAATAATGAGCGTACGCCAAATCCGTGGGAAAACCTAAAGGAAATGAAAGGGCCAACGAATTTCTGCGTCGTTTATAGAGAGCACGAGTATTTTAGCGAAAGGCCGCCTTGTAACGACTCGCGTGTCGAGCGATCAAAGTGTGGAGAGCCCCGAGTGGTCTGTGTATTTATCGCGTTAAATATTTTACGGAAAAGCGGATTTTCGCGCGCGCTCATACACGAAGAGACAAATACAAGCGAAATATAACGCAGAAATTCAACTGTGCTATATCGATGCAGAAGGTAAACGCGACGTAATGCGAGTAAATAAAATAACTAACGCGAGCAATACGGCAAAACCGAGCAAGCTGAATTATTTCGACCTACGACTCTTCCTCGACCATCCCCGCGTATACGCGCAACTGCGGACATTACACGCGCACAGACAGGGCAAAACTTGGCCTTGAATCTAGGGTATATATTTGCCCTGGACTCGACGCGGTGCGGCTCGACCATTAATACCACATTTGTCTTCCTTTGAAGTCGTGTACGCCACTAAGAGCAACCGAGAGATGTTGCAAGGAAGGGAGAGAGAGGGAGAGACACTAATAATACCTCAACTCTAAACCGTATACGGAGATGCAAAGCTCCGAGTCTACGGGGTTAACGCACGCGCTTGTTTAATTAATTACAAGAACGTGTTATTCGCGCAATTGCGTAGACAAGCGTAGCTTGCCACCTTCAATGAAATACTACCCATTAAAATCTTCGCATATAATTACATCAAACAAAGATACAAGTGGTGTATAAAGATTATGTCCTTTTTTTGTTCATCATCGAACGTAAAAAAAAATCGATGAAAAAATTCATAAAAAGCATGCGCGCACGTACCTGTATGCGTTCGCTGATGTGCCTTGAGATGCGAGCTCTTGGTATATACTTTCTTACAGCCTGGAAATTGGCACTTGTGTATCCTGCGCTTGGTGTCGGGCGGACTGTGCTCGTGACTCCTCGGATGTCTGTTGTTGGCGCCGCCGTTACCTGCGCCCGTACCCGTCGTCGCGACAACCGTCGCCGTCGTCGTCATCGCCGTCGGCCCCGAGCCCGTCGTGCCTATTTGCGTCGTCGTCGTCGTCGTCGTGTTGCCGTTCACCGTGGGAAAGGCGCCGTTCGTTGCCACGGAGATTAATCTGCACGAAGATGAGAAAAAATAAATCGAATGACATTTCTCTCGCTCGGTTCGTGTATCGAGAGAGAAAATCGCAGGATTTCATCGAAAAGCAGCTTACCTCGCGACGCTTTGTGCGTTTGCGGTAACCCTGACGATTGCGCTTCTGCCGTTGGTACCGTGAAGATTGAGATTGTGCACGTCGAGCATCGAGCTGCCGGTCGACGAGTGACTCGAGTTCGAATGACCTTGGCCCGATTCCGGACTCGATGGTGGTGTGAGAATTTGTCCCTCGCCTTCGCAACCACTGTCTTCTTCTTCTTCGATTTCCTATTTTGATACGGGGGGAAAATTCGGAATTTATAGATCATAACTAATGTCGTATCACACTGCAAATACAAGCTGTAAAAATGAAAAGAAACACCCACCTCGTGCTCCTCGTCCTCTTCAAGATCTTCGCTGGATTCTTTTTTGAGGATGAGCGCTCGACACGACAAGGACGGCGAGCCGTCCCAGGACAGAGCTGAACAAGCCGAACTTGCCGAAGACATGGATAACGAGTCCAAGTGTCGATCGAGATCCCTGTCGCGGCCATTGTGACTGTGATCTCCCGGACTCAGCTTCATTTCGTCGAGACATAAAGTGTCTCTGTCGTCCGTCGACGCTGTCACCTGAAATTGCGTTTTGGAGAAAAGTTACAAAAGATATTGCGCAATCGACTTTCAACCATTTGGCCATGTGCATTTGAAAAAAATTTAAACGTCGGCGATAAAGTGTATAGAAGCCAATAATATATGCGATACATTGCATCAGGATAATAATATTTTTACAAACCTGCATCTTGATCGAAGATTCGTACTGTGTCGTGTTCGCGCTCCCCGTGGTGGCGGTCCAGATTTGCGGGGCCCTGAACACGTTCCACGGCGTCGTGTCAAGATCCGTGGAGAGCTTTTTGTACGAGTGCAGCTTGGGTTCGTCCTTCAGGTACATTTCCATCTCGTAGCATGTCTGTAACAGGCGCGAAAGAAAAGAAAAATGAAAATCAGTCTCATTAATCACATTATAATCAATTACGAGGAGCTTTCAAAAAAGTGTGCGCTCAAAACGAGTTAATCAGTCGAATGTTCGGGTCGCGAAATATCAGCGCCTCATCTCTCGCGGGCTGAAACGTACACTACAAAGCCCGCATAATCTTCGTCGGGCTTAATGACCCTTTGAGCCCTATTATAATACCCGAACACTGTTTACAAGTACGTTAACACGCTCCCAAAGCACACACACACACACACGATCGCTCGCTTATAAGCTTGACGTGCATAATGCACACGAGTGTGTATCCATGCAGACCTCTTCCTCTTTGTGCGTGTGTGCATGTGTGTATGTGCACACACAACATAATATATTATATCGATAATGATAATAGTCGTTGTTAATAATGATCCATTTAACATCAAGGCTTCATTATTATATCGGGTTATAGTCGTCGGCAGAAACTGGCGCTATATAGCGTATGACAATCATCGCAGCGTAACAGAATACCCGCCGCGCGCCGCTGCACCACCACCACCGCCGCTTTGCTTGTTTACGTGCGACGAGAGCTGCACCTGCATCGCTTAATCATTCGTAAAATTAAAATATTTCCAGGCAGGCTTTCTCTCTTTTGCACTACCGCAACCCGTGTGCGGCTTCTATCATTTATCAACGAGTCAATTTCAATGTCCAGCTTGCGGCGTGTCTGTATACGGTGGAAAACTTTTGTATATTATGTCTAGGGCCAAAGTCTCGTCGTAGTCATAGTCGTCGTCGTGCAAGGGCTAAGTTTGCTCCTACTCGAGATAGCAAGTTGCAGAGGAGGAAGCATCGACTCTTGGAGGCGGTGGCCATGACTTCTCATACTTGGCCAAAACTCAGGACGCGACGAGTCCGAAACATTCTCGAGTATCCGCGTTTACATACACAGTAGACATCTACACATCTATGCGGAGCGTTAGGGTTGCAGCGAGGCCAAGAAGGATCTATTAGCGACAATGCGGAAATTACTCCTGGAGAGACTTTGCGCGTACGCTGCACAGAGAGAGAGAGCTTGTACGTGTGTATATGTGTGTGCGAGTTGCCGAACGTCAGAGTAGTCAAGTATATACAGCAGTTCAAAGTTATGGCGTTCTCAGACGCCCAGCAGCAGCCATAACTACGTGCGTATACAAGCAAAGCTCGGTCGCTTGTACATCGCATCCCTTGCATGATAGATAGGTAAGTTATTAGAAAGAATTATAGTGCAGTGGTTATATTATTTTGATTAGGCCGAGGATAGCTACAAAATTTTCAAATATGTTGTTTAATATTTGTTCAACATGAGATTTTTGATCGTTAAGAATACACCACTCTTGGCAAACGGAAAAAGCAAGCGTTTACAAAATGCAAATGAATTTATATAGATTAAACTGAAGTTAAATACATTTCGTTTTTATCCGCGTAATGGCTGAAAGAGTGATTTCATATTTCAAGAATTCGCTGCAGTGAAAGAGAGAAAAAAAAAGAAAGTACACGCAAGTGCGAGGGAGAGAGACAAAGTTTTCCTTGGGTCAGGATATGTGCGCACACAGAAGTTTTTTGAAGATTCCAAAACAGAGTGAATACGTAGTTCTTTCAGCTGAATAAATGCACACACGCGAGCCACGGACTTTTCTTTCTAGGCATAGCGCGCGCGCACTTTTATACGTACACACACATGTATATACTTTTTTTGCACTCACACGCGGGCGAAAGTTCTTTTGAAAAGGCTGCCAGTGTGCATATAGCATAGGCCAGACGAACGGCTACTCTCGTGCTATATATACTTCAAAGGCTACCTTGGCGAGCGCATGCGTGTGCACAGTCGAGGTGCATGTAATAGCAAAGTTTCGCGAGAGCAAAAAAAAAGTAGAAGAAGAAAGAAGATGGAAGCAGCAAGTTTTATCATGTAAATAGATATTTCTTATGATATGCCTTAATGCTGGGCGAGAGAAATAGGAAAAAGGTCTTGAGATGAAGGATGAGATTGAATTTCTTAGCGATATTTCCGATGTACCGATGATGATTTCTCTTACTTTTGCTACTGTGTGGGGAAAAAGAAGCAGCGAGTCTATCATGCATCGAGCGCGAAAGAGAAAGATGCTGCCATTTGGCATGCAAGCTCTGCGCAGCGCAAGCTCCAGCTACCGCGCACTCAATTGGCCAAAGCAGTGCAGTGCAGAACGCGCGCGGCCACGCTAAGCGAAAATGTACGATGGAGCAAAGAGAGAGAAAAAAAAATAAAAGTCGGAAATTCTTACACGGCGAGTGCAAAAAAGGAGAGTCGGAGGGCAAGAGGTAGAATTAAGTTTGCCTATCCAGCCATAACCCTCGAGGTGCATTGTTCTTGAGTGAGAGAAATAATCGCGTTGGACTTTGTGAGTAAAAGGCGCGTCTCTTCCATTATTCATGGTTAAAAGTTCTCGCCCCGCTCGCGCGCAACGAGTAAGACAGCGTGCGAGAGCCAGTGTGAGAGCAAGAGAGAGAGAGATGGAAGAATGAGAGAAGAAGACCTTTCCTACTCTTTCTCTGGCTGACTTTCGCACTCTTTCTCTCTCTCTTTCTCTCTCACTCTCTGTCTCTTTATTGCGCCCATAACGACATTATTATAAAGTTGAAAGAACATTTTTATGGCTCTTGCCAACGGGACGGTAATATAATAGCCAACTATTTTCTCAATGAGACTCACTTGGCACGGGTCCGTCTATTTCACGAATTTTCAACTTGTCTCTATTCATCATGTAGCGATCGGCAAAATCGATCGGCGACGAGCATTATCTCGAGCTCAGGCCGCCGAGATCGATCGCTCATCGGCATGGCAGCATCAAAATAACGAATGCACCCGCACACACGAGAAATGAAAAAAAAAACACGAGCCGATGGACTGGAGCCGACATGTAGGGTACGCGTCACTCTTCATTATGGCAAAGTACGGCAAGTGTTTAGCACGACGAGCGAGAGAGGCAAAGGGGGGCTACCAGCAGCGCCGCAAAACTCGAATGGCTAATGGCAAAACTGCGTAATAATGCATAACTCCAACTTGTCTCGTTCTAGATACCAGGCCAGGGTAGAGCTGCCCGAGCTCGTTCGATCTCGCATAAATCAAATGCACACTCGAGTCAGAGCTCCCCCCGCCGTAGTCCGTCAAAACTTCCTTCTGCGCATTTCCATCAATGTATAATCGTGCAGGCGCGCACTGTCACTTATTATACCTCCCCTTTGCACGCATAGTACATAATCTTGTACGAATCACGCATGTTTATGTGCTCGCTGAGAGAAAGAGATAGATCCTTTTACCCTATCGGTGTACGTGTATTACTTGCAGCGTGTCAGGCCGTATTCGTCAGTGCAATATAGGATGAGCAGTTGAGCAGGACATCATTCAGACACGCGGGAATTTGAATTTCGGCTCTCATTTGAATCAGAAAGAATAGGGTGCGCGGGAGTGAAAAAACCCGCTCGATTCTTTTTTTTCTTTCCTATAATGAAAATAAACGATCGAAAAAGAGCGCGCGTATGAAACAGGCTTTTTATCTAGTTTAGTAGAGTGGACTGAATTATTATGTAATTTGACGCTCGCATGCGGACGAAAAAATGAGATATATAATGTAAATTTTATGCATTATAAATTTATGTACGCACGATGTTCGCTGGTCGCGCACACGCATGGTCTCCCGGAATACATATGAATTTCGAATGAAAAAAAAGAGAAGAGTTTAAACGACAAAGTGAGCGGATGGGCGAGCGCACACATATACGTGCACCACATGTGTATATGTGTGAGCAGAAAAAAGTATCAACATGCATGCGTGCAGAGAGGGAAAAGAGGCGAGAGCGAATCCGGATATTGCGCGGTCAGGAAATTTAAAGTGAAATTTGTGCGATCGCAAAATTCTGCAAAACGTACGGTAATGGTGGAGAGCAAGAGAGAGAGAGAGAGAGAGAAATGTACGCGAGCCAGTACAGCCGGCAGCAGCGTTGAAAGAAAGCTTTAATAATAATCGGATGGGCCGAGAGAGATGAGATAACAGAGTTTTTGAATCATCCCGATCGCACGCTCGAATAAAATACAAATTTAATAGAACGCCCCAGACCGAGCTTTTCCTTTTTGCTTTTGGGGAAAACGTGAAAAATCGATATTAAGAGCAGGGTGTATTTGTTTACGCTCAAGCTGTTCTGCAGTATTTTGCCGACGAACTCGAAATTTTCATTTCAAGTTTCGGGAAATTCAGACAGAATAGACGGGATAGTTTGTTCTCATTTTCATCCGCAATGCATTTCAATTACAAGGGCTAATGAGAAGCGAAATATTTACCAGTACGTTGCATCTTAAGTAGCTGTACTCGACTTTACCCAAACTTTGGGCTTAAAAATGTTGACAAAAAGTTCGAATATTAGCGAGGCAAACGGAAAGCAACAAAGTTATAAGGGTTTAATCAGTTAGAGAGGGCTTGATTAATTTCAATTTATTGCCCAAAGTTATGAGAAAATATATGCAAAATTTACTGAAAATGAACTTTTAAATTTCGGTAAAAAGTAATATCAAACTATTTATTTGAAAAACAGTAAAGCAAATAGACCGAACGAGTCACTGAGTGAATTATACTTATTGGCGGTACGAGCGTATATCCAGGGCATGTCTGCAACTATATTAAAGTTATAAATTTTATCATATCTTTAAGCTAAAAGGAGAAGTAAAATTGTCGGCAAGATTTCTGACTTTAATATAGAGAGAAGTAGTCAAGTCAGATATGACAGGTAAGGTTTTTGGAACACTTCTATATAGTTTATTTCGTACGTACAGGGCGAAGGGGGAGGTGAATCGTGGCATGGCTTCTTGGCACAACGTCGAGTGATAATTTAGTCGCGAAAACAAAGCACCGCCGCAGCGGCGGTGGCGGCGGCTCGGCTCAGAAAAAGCAATTATTCAAATCACTGCATCGCTCGGCAATGGAAAA